AATAGAAACTAAAAGAATAAAAAGAAAGAGTAGAAGGTGCAGAAAAGAAAAAAAGGAAAAGACAGAGAAAAGAAAGAAAAGACTATAGTAAAGAAAAAGAAAAGAAATATATAAAGAAGTGACTTCCCAACTTGATCACAAGTATAAACAATTTTAATAACTCATTGCCTCCTCTTAAGATGCAACAGATGATCTCTTCTTCCCATATCCCATCTCTTATCTATAAACAAATCCACAAAGCATTGTCATTTCAGTCCTGGTGTTAGCAAAAGTCCATTAAGGATTACCAGAAATAACAACATATCTATTTTAACCTTATCCAATAAACCAACTTTATATTCCTTCCTTTTACTTCTAACGATTACCAGAAATAACAACATATCTATTTTAACCTTATCCAATAAACCAACTTTATATTCCTTCCTTTTACTTCTAACAATCTTAATCTTTAGTCAATTCAAATGTCATAGAATTTCATTTCTTTTCATTTTTTCTTTGTCCCTTCTCATGAGTTTCCTTAAAAGTTTAACAAGTCTCTTTTGTAAAACCAATATAGGAAAATTATCCAGATCACTCTCTTGGTTTATTGTTTGTATATCCCTTTTAATTATTAAAACATCAGCTGGTTTCTTTCGTATGTCCAGTGTAAAATATTTTTCCATATCGTTCTTATAGCCTCTCATTTGTAAATCCACTTTCAACTCAGTCTTGAGCTTGTCAGGCAAACCTTGTTCCTCTTCCATAACTTCTTTTAGACACAGTCTCTCCATAGAGGCAGATGTCTCTGTTGACACTATTAATATTAACTTTGGAGTCCATTTTTCAAAAATATTCTTCAATATGTCCAATGTTAGAATATTTTGCTTCATTCTGTAATTATAAGTTGAGTTTATGTGTTCTTCTCCTTAAATATTACAATTAAATATTTAATTCCCTCTAGTTCCAATTTTTAAAATCTTATGTTTTTTTCAAAAAATTCAAAACAAAAGCATTTTCCCACAGGAAGGATTCTTTATAATTAATTCCAAAATCTTATTTCAAATTTATCTGGAACCTTAGTCTGTTTGTAACTTTCTAAAATCAAAGTTTTAATTACCCTTTTGCTGTTTATTCCCC